GGATGCAAGGCAGATCTGTCCCCCTGGGAGCAGAAACCCTACCTCAGGCCTTCTGCCCTGCTCGCCTGGAGACTGTCTCATCTTGGGAATGTTGCAAGTTTCATTTTGTCCCTTGGAAGCTGGAGCAGCCAGAAAGGGAACCTGAGCTGACTTGGAGCCAGGGCCTTAATTGGAGTGGATCCCTGTGGAGGACATTAACCTCCTGCCACAGCTTGGCAGGGAGGAAATACTTCCTCCCCCACCCCAGTCCGCACTCACACACACCCCAGCCAAGATCTTCGGTGGCTTACCACCCAAATAAGGTATGTATTAAGCTTCCAGCTTCCATCCATTTGAACAGCGTTTTTCTGTTTCCAGACACTAGCAAATACCACAGGCATTGTGAACAGTCTCATTTGATCTCATTCACTCATGCCACAAATTTTTATTGAGGGCCTACTGTGTGCCGGGCACTGTTCTGGGCCCAGTACTGACAGCATTCTGGCTTTCATGAAGATTACCTTCTAGTTGGGAAGACAGACAATAACCAATACCCAGGCCAATATGCCTATGTCGGGAGGTAGTAAGAACTATAAGGAAGAAAAAAGCAGAGTAAAAGGAGAGAGAGGTGTTGGGGGCAGGGAGTTGGAAGAGCTTCTGATCAGATGACCTTTGAGTAAAGACCTGAAGGAAATGAGGCTGCTATCTGGGTAAACAGTGTTCTAGGCAAGAGACAACAGCAAGTGCAAAGGCACTGAGGCAGGGATTTCCTTATTGTGATGGAGAAACAGTAAAGAGGAAGATGAGAAAGCAAAGGTCCAGACAGTTTGTTGCCTTGTTTGCTGAAACCTGCCACCAAGTCAGTGGTGCTTCTCCACTTCTCTGCCCCGTGAACACTGAAGAGAGGCAGAAAGCTTAGAAAAACGGTTTTAGCTGGGTAACAGAAATCATCCCATGATGATAAATAATCCTTCCCCAGAAGAAAAATAACTTCTAGGAGGATAAAGGCAAAAGATTAAATAAATAAATAAATAAATAAATAAATAAATATTTGAAACTAGTAGTCATTAGAAGAGAGAATTAATGTTTGTTGGCTGAATGCTGTGCTTGTAATAACCTACACTGAGTTTCCATATATGGGGAAACTATGACTCAGGGAAGATAAGTGACTTGAGATCACACAGCCAGGGGTTTAAACTGAGGTCTGGTTATATGCCTGTTTCCCCTCTAGATCGTACACATTGTAAGGGCAGGTTCATGTCTGTCCTCTTTACCCTTGTATGACCTACGCATAGCACAAGGCCTGGCCCAAAGCTGATACCCCAAAATGTTAGCTAAATGATTGAAGATTTCTATCTTCAAAACCTGTTCTGATTCTAATAATACTATGTGCTTCCCTATCAAAATTTGATGCAGCTGATCACTGGAATATTCTGCAACTGTTAAAAATGATTGCTTACTTAAACAAATCATAGTTCATCTATGTGGTGGAATAATACAGTCATTAAAAATGATGTTGAAGGTTGCTGAGAACAGAGCTCCTGATGGAGATAGGCAGTTACAGGCATAGCTGCCAGGATGACGGCCTGCTGACCTCAGCTCAGGGCAGCTCGGGGCTCCTTTGGCCCACATCCCAACTCCCTCCTCCATTTCAGCTCCAACTTCCTAGCCAAGCCTAATATAACAGCCTGAAGGCTCAGAAATAATAAGAAAGACTGACCACACCATCATTATCATCATTGCATTATTATTGCAGGTGTATTGAGCACTGAATGTGTGCCTGATTGAGTACATTGCATATACAGTCTCAATCCCTACAACCTGAGTTGAGTATTATTGCTTCCCATTTGTCAGAGAAAGAAACTGAGACTTAGAGAGATTAAATCATTTGCTCAAGTCAAATAGCAGGCAAGTAAGTGGGAGATCTGGGATTTGAACCCAAGTCTATTCTGACTCCAGATGGTGCACTTTACTATAGCCCTGACCCACTCACATCGCCTACTGTCACCAGGTAGTTAGTGCCCTGTGTTCAGCAATCTTCCACCAGATGCCTGCTCTGTCCTTTGCCCCTTGACCTAAGACTATGGGTATGACCTTCAATATAAAGAAAGAGCTCTCACCACAGAGGGTCCCCAGCGAGCTGGTGGGCCTGACTCAGATGAGGTGCCAGTTTCCTACTGCCTAAAGATGCAAGGACAGCCAGGAGACAACCAGGGATGGGAAGTCCACTTTCCAGCTGCTTCCCTGTAACATCAGTGCAAACACTGACAACCCTCTCCAGCCATAAAGTTAGATTTGAATAAGGATATTTCTACTCCATCCTCCATCGTTGCGTGTTCACAGTTCATTTGTTAAGTACTTTGAGGTCTGAACAATCAGTCCTTTAGATCCCAGCTAGGTAGCAGAGGGGGTGTTGAACTATTTGAAATTCAAGCAGACAACTGTATTTTTTCAAAGCCGAGAAGTGTTCTTCATGCTTCAAAAGAATAAACGCATTCCCCAGCTCTGAGGGTGCCAAGTCTCAGCAGCCAGAGACCCTGCAAGCAAGGGAAAAGCAGACGCAGCAGGTCAATGCTTCCCGGTCACATTCCACGCACTGGCAGTCTCCCTCCCTCACTCAGTGGTGACTTGCTGAGACTTGGAGGAGCAGGCTTCCTTTGATTGTTTGTTTCCCATAGGAAACAGCCACTAATCTTCTCCCATAGAGGTACACTTCCTACTGCAAGGTCCATATTTACGCCAGGACCACCGGTCTTTGTGTGGAGGACACTGCACATGCAGGGGACAGTTCCCTGATAAAAGGATGACAGCCTTGACTGAGCTGAGCACAGACATGGCCAGAGTCCTGCAGGTTGAGCTCAACACTTATTTTCTTTTTCCATTCAGTTCCACCTCTTCATTTTCTGGTGAGTCCCTTTCCCTCCTGAACCTGCCCATTCCCGTCAGCTGCTGGACCCACCCTGTCAAGGCAGGGACCGGAGTCCCTGGATTCATCAGCAGGACTTCCACCGTGGGTGAGCACGTCCAAGCCCCACGTCATGCTAATGTAGTATGCTAAGAGAGGTCCCGGCCTGGCCCCATGGCAGAGGGGTGGGAGACGGTGAAAGGGAGCCAGACACTGCTTCCTGCTGATCAGAAATAAACACGACAAGAAGCAGCAGGAACAGGATATTTACAAGACCTTAAAGTGTCCCCACACATTGTTCATTACTTGTAAGGAGGGAAATTGTAACTTCTGCCGTAGAGAAACCAGACCACTTCTTAACGGGAGAAACCAGACCACTTCTTAACTGGGTGCTCAAAATGAACATCACCCTCTCCAGGCATCAGTTTTGTAATATTCCAGCTGAGAATGCATGAGCTGAAAACAGCCTGGAGGAGACAGACGTCAGACTCACCCAAATCAGCAACATTCTATAAAATAACTGGTCTGGATTCTTCAAAATTTCCATGTCATGAAAGGGAAAGAAAGGCAGGTTGCTGCCTCCAGTGAGAGGCAAGTAAAGGTGTAACACCTGAATGGCATACCTGATCTGGGACTGGAATGAAAAGAATACTATAAAGTCACTGGGTCAGTTGACAGAATTGGAATATAGATGGTGGATTAAAGTATTTTATCTATGTTAAATTTCCTGCGTTTCATAGCTGTATTGTGAGAGGATATCCTTATTCTTCAGAAATACATACTGAAGTATTAATGAGTAAAAGGGCATGACATCTGCAATCTACTCTCAAATGGTTCCAAAACCATCATATACATCCAATAATTACATGTATCTATATATATCTAATATCTTCCTATGTATCTATGGAGAGAGAAAATAAACATGGCAAAATGCAAAATGCAAAAAAAAAAACGGTGAATCTAGGTAAAGGGTATTTAAGAGCTCTTTGTATTATTCTTGCAACTTTTCTGTTAGCTTGAAATTATTTTAAATTAAAATAAACATCGCAGGAGTCCAGAGAGAAGGAAAGCTAGGTCCCCAGCTGAAAGCCAGGGAATTTTGCCTCCTCCTCTTTGAGTGACTGAGGGGGCAGAACTCATTCTGTGAGACCTCTCTTTGGAAGGACTTTTCTGTGGGTTGGTTGGTTTCCCCTTTTGCTAATAGCCAGGAAGACACTCCAGCCGTCATAAATCATCACCACCAGGGTGGCCAAGTCTGGCCATCAGGGCTGGGCCTCCCAGGCAGGCCAGCTAGGAAGCATCGTGGGTACCAGCTCATCCACCCTGTCTTTCCAGGGTGAAAAGGCTGGGATTCCAAGCCTCTGGGACTCAGTTTGGAGAGCGAGGATGAAGAGGGGCTGTTATGCCCTTTCCAAAAAGCCCCACATGATTCCTGCCTCATCAAAGACTGCGGTCCAACACCCCACCCACTGTTGTCTGGAGTGGGGCTGGCGGCCCAGAACCCAAAACCGCCTATTCTGTTTCCTGCTTGAGGGGGGCATTCAGAAGACACTAGTCTCCTCTACCCTCCCCACCAAGTACTCTCCACTCGGTTTATGGTATGACTGTTGTCTTTTCTGAAGAGGGAATGTGTGTAGTGAGTCAGGACCCCAACACTAAATTCAGACTGGCTGGGGTCAGGGACCGTTAGCGATACCTCACTAGTGACCTGCAGCATTCTCTCCACCTCCACGAGCCCCAATTTCCTCCTCCCTTATAGAGGGGGTGACACCCTGCCACACAGGCTCCTTGAAACTACTAAATGTGCTACTTTGGATAAAGGGCTGGCCCGTGTTAAGTCCCTGTTAAGTCCCCAACAAGCGTTCTTCTTATTGACCACAGGCCCTGCCCTCCCAGAGTTTGCAGCCTGGCTAAGAAAAGCACAGATTTAAGACGCAATATCAAGGAAGCCTGACAAATGCTGGGATAAAGAAAATGCACGTTATTCACGCACGCCATGAAAGTGTATGCTGGGGGGTCTACATTAGTCTGGGTGGAGGAGCATCAGGGAATGCTTTCCAGAGCCAAGCATGCTCAACACAGATATAAACCAGTACCTGCTCTGTGTCAGTCACAGTCCTAGGCCCTTGGAATGCCGCTGAATAGTCTCTGCTCTCGCAGAACTTCCTTTCTAGTGGGGAGCTGGGCTCCACTACAAACATACAAATAAGTATACAAAGTGCCAGGAGTCAACGCGCTATGATGAAAAAATAAAACAGCGTCAGAGGACAGAAGGTTTACCCATCTGTGAAATGGGGGTACTACAAGTTCCTAGCTCAAACCCTCGTCACAAGGATTAAATGAAATAACAAGCAGAAAGTAGTTCAGTGTCTGACCCAGAGAGTTAGATACTTCACATGCTCTACAAATGTTCAAGAAATGTCTATTAATATTTCATGTATTTGACAATAATTTTTTGAGAATTATTAAATATGTACCAGGCCCTGAATGAACATCAGAGGACATGACCCAGCCACAGTGTTCAAGAAGTTCATAGCAGCCTAGAGGGGGAGACAGATAAACAGGCAATTCCAAATATCATGTGATAAGAACATGAGTTATCAAGTGTTTGCTATGTACCAGGCACTATTTTGAGCATTTTGTCTGTATTAAGTCATGTAATCTTTATAACAACTCTGAGATAAGCACTCTTTTACAAATGAAGAAACTTAGGCACAGAGGGGTAAGGTAATTAGCCTAGAGTTACACAGTCAGTGTAAAAGGAGCACAGCTAGAATTTTGTACTAGGGAATCCCAGTGTATTATGGCACCCCAGAGGAGGGGTCCTGACAGGAAAGATCAAGGAGGGCTTCCTGGAGGAGGGCACATCTAGGATGAGGTTTGCATGATATTAGCTGGGCAGATGGGGAAGGACTTTCAGGAGGAAAGCCCTAGAGGAAAAAGCTTATGCACAGGCTGGAGATGAGAGTAAGTAGGCCCTTTTGGTGCTCAGCCATGAGTCTGAGACCAGGGCATAGAGAATCTGGTGGGGAGGGTTGGCTGCCTACCCCACCTGAGGTCCTCCAGGTCGAGTGGGGGAAGGGACTTTATTAATGTGGACACTGTGCAGGGAGGGAGGGAGTGCAAAGTAGGGCAGGAAGAGGGACAGCTCTGAGATTTTGCCCCCTGAGCTGCCAGGCACTCACTTCAGTGGAAAGAGCCACAGGGCTGGGAGACTCCCAGTCAGACCCAGGGACTCTCCTAAAGGGCCAGAACAGAGAAGGGGAAGCGTGAGCAGGGAGATGATCCCAGAAACGGCAGCCATGGTACCCAGTGGGATCTGAGGCTTGGGTCTGGTTGTTCTTCTTGTCTGAAAGAACAAAAAACCAAAAACTGTTTTTCGAGGTTATGCAAGTATGTGGTAAGATAGATAAATAATAATTCAGCAGTCACAGGGAGCCTGCGGCACAGACACCCCTCCCTTACCCCGTGGCTCATTTCCCCTCCCCCAGGCCCCCACTTATCCATTTTCCTGAGTTGCCTTCCAAAGACAGTCTATGCATACATGCATAGGATTGTGCAGAGCTATCCCATGGAGGAATTTTAATAATGAATTTTAATGTTCTTCCTTTTGTGGGGGGCAGACTACTAAAAAGTAAAATACATTCGTTGCAGAGAACACTAGGGGGAAAACCAAAAAGCAGAGAAGCAGGAAAAGCTAAGATGCAAAGGCAATCACTGTTAACGTTTCTCAACCCAGGATTTCTGCTTTAATAAAAGAATACAAATAACCCTCGAACGCATGGTGAAAGCATCTTTGCATTCTTTACCACATTCCATCTGCCCCCTCCTAATGGTATACTTAAAATAATGAGAATTATTGTAACTTCAAAGGAGAATGAAGGCTTGGAGTCCTATGGAGCAAGCTGTCCTGACTCTTGATGTCCTCCACACGTCTGTCCTTCCACCTTCTCCTGTCTCTCAGGCCAGAGGAGCGGGGCTGCCTCCCTGATCACTAGAGACAAAACCTGGCTTCCCGCCTTTGTCTGCCAGCTGCAGGTCCCCCTGCTGCAGTCACCACCAGCTGCAGTGACTCATGGAACGACACACTGGCCTGATGGGACTTCTCTCTCTCTCCTCCCTCCTGCCGACCTGCTGCTGGGATAGGGACCTGGGGAGGGAGGCACAGGGCAGGTTGAAAGCACTGGCCTTGGAGTCAGACTGCCTGGATTTGTAGCCCTGCTCTGCCCGTGCAGCTGTGTGACCTGAGGCAAATCACTTACTCTTTCTGCATTTCCCTTTCCCCAGCTGTAAAATGGGGCAGTAACAGTACTTCCTCCTAGAACTGTCACAAGGTTTAAATGCTCCCGAAGTGCGCACACATGATACACGCTCAGGAACATGAGCTCTTATCTTTCTAGTGAGGTGGGGAGGGCGAGTTCTGTTTCCTGAGGGCCCTGTCTCTGCACCCCCGCAACCGCTACCCTGCCCATAAGCCCCAGCTTCCCAGAAGCCCACAGATCTTTATTCCCTCTGACTCTCTTCCCAGGCTTTCCCGGCTGAGGAAATCTTTCTCATAGTTGAGGATTCAGAGGCTAAGCCTCCAGGGAGCCTCCCACAAATACACCTCCACCCTCAGTCCAAATAAACCTCTTCCTCCTCCTAATCCGGCACCACCAGACACTGGATGAACACATTGTATTAAAATTATGTATGTAACCCAGGGGTCTGCCCAGGTCCTCCGGCTGACAAAGGTCACTAATTCTTTAAAGTTGCATCCACAACCCCTTTATACCTTCCCAACAGACCCCCTCCTCCTGCCAGCCCCCCTATTCTGGGAAAGCTTGCTTCAATCTCAGCTGGCTGGGGTTGGGGACAGCCAAAGGGGGTAAGCCAATCAGCTCTTGGCATTGTCTTGATGCTGGTGTTGGTCCAGGGATGACCCCCATGGCACAGTTTGCCCAACGACTGAAGGTAAGGGCTTAAAGGTCTTACAGGCCTCTTCCTCTTGCTGGAGAAAAGTAGGGATGTGTGATGCTCCTCCAGGTGTTTCAGGCAGCCTTCTTGCCACCAACAGGGTAGCTACCCTTGGACTGAAGCCACTGTGCAGAGCAGGAGACAGCAGGTTCCTGGCCCATAGCAGGAGCTGAAAAAAAATATTGGACTTTATGTTTTTATTCCCATTGTACAGATGAAACCAAGTCTCAGAGAGTCTAAGGTTACACATGTAGTAAGAGCATCAAACCCACATGATCTAGCTCTAGATCTTAACCACCTGATTCAAACTCCCAGTGCCTGCCTGCGAGAAGCCCTGGAGATATGCCCTTTATAGGCAGCCCACTACAGCCTCCCAGGGCCGCATTAGCTGAACTGTCAATCTGCAGGCACTTCTAGAGGCTCAGGTGTGCTGTCTGCACACCCACTCCCACTCCCAGAGCACCACTCCATCCTGTCCCCATCACAGCCTACCACTGCCAAGGGCTGAATGTGGCAGATGGTCTGCAAGGCTGGTGGTGACAGTGTGGGAACCACCACTAAACAACAGCAATTTAAATATTAAATATCCTTCTTAAATGTTCAGCAAACATTCCCCCTACAGAATCTTCTGGACTCCAGACAGGTTGCTTCCTTCTTTAGCCTCCATTTCTCTGTTCTTCCCTTCTTCCTGCTTCCAGGTCTCTAATCTCTCCTTATTTACTTACCCTAGGCCTCCCTCCAGCCCTCCACCCCTCCAGCCCTCCAGCCCTCCAGGCCAGGGCCAGGGAGAGTGCAGGGCCTTTCACACCCAAGGCAGCCACCGCCATAGTTGGCCATGCAAAGACCCCCATCTCCCTAGAGGAATGATGTGACCAAGTTCTAATCTAACATGGCCCCCGTAGTCTGGGAGCACCTTGAGGCTCTGGGTTGGGTGGATCCAGATCTGTGGCTCTGGGGCCCATCCTGGTTCCAGTGATCGTCCAAGGAAGGAAGGATGAATTCATGGCACTCCTGGCCTTCCCAGCCTGGCTGCTTGCCCCACCTCCCAATGAGTCAGCACTGAAGCCAGGCCTCTCCGCCTTTCCTGTTCTCTTCTTGGGCTCCGGAAGAATAGCAGGATGTGAGCTGCGCCCAGGCCGGTTTGGGACTTGGCAGCATTGCAGGTGTCGGCAGGCTGTCCCCCAGAGGCGAGGCCCACTGCTCAGTTGCCTAAGCCACCGCCACCTCTCATTCTGAGGATGGCAGAATCCCATCCCAGGAGATGCCTGTGGATGGGTGGGTCCATGGTACACTTGAACTGTCCAACAGAGGAGAGCAAAAAGCAGATGGGACAAGGTCAGAGAATTTCAGGAGAAGAACCTGGGGCCAGAGGGCCTGGGTCTGAATCCCTGGGCACATTACTTTAACTCTCTGCCTCATCTGTAAAAAAAAAAAAAAACGGGGGTAATAATAGACCCTCTGCTCAAGATTAAGAGGAGTATATGCATTTATATTGGGAAAGCACTCAGAAGAGAGGGCGGCACATAAAAAGCACTAAGTCAATGTTTGCTTCATGACAAACATAAACTCAGTAAACGTCTAGTGAGGGCCTACCGTGGGCCAGGCCCAGGCCAGGTTCTGGGGACACAGCAGTGAGTGAGAACAAGGACAAAGGAGCTGACCTCAAAGAAAAGGCATCTGGCCCCTCTCGAGGGAGACCAGGTCAGTAGGGTGGGGTGAGCCTGGAATCTGTTAGCAAATGGCACCTACAGTCAAGTCTAAATGTCACTGAACAAATGGGGAAACTGAGGTCTGGGGAGAGGCAGGTTGTTGCTCAACATCTTACAGCTGAAGAGTAAGAACAACCTGCGGAGCACTCACTTTTAATGTGCCAGACATAAACCTGTTTTAATACCGGTTTGTTATTGTTCCAAATTTACAAGTGAGGACCTGAGCACAGAGAAATTAAGTGACTTGCTCAAGGTCACCGTGCTAGGAAATGATAGAGCCAGGACTGAACCCCAGGCAGCCTGGCCAACCAGATGACAGAATGCGACTAATATAAACCGTCATTTATTGAGTGCCCACAACAGGTACTGCAAAATACTTTGTCTTCTCTCATCCTCACACCACCAGGGAAATTAGGTACCATTACTGTCCCCATTTCACAGATTAAGGAACTGAGGCCCAGGGAGATTATGTGATTTGCCCCAATTCTCACAACTAGGCAGTGGCAGAGCCAGGGTTTCTAGAATCTAGGCTAGCCTGCCACCTGGACCTCTTAGCAGCTTTTCCTGGCTGGGTTGGAGCCTGGGCTGTCACCCTCCATCCCTTCTGGGCCCATGCAGAGAAGGCAGAAGCCATGGGCCTTGTCTGGAAAAATGAGCATCATGAGCAGAGTCCTTCTGACAAGCAGAGAGAGCCCTATAACATGGCCAGAGCCAAGATGATGCCATCCTGGACCAGCCACAGCTCTACTCTCTCCAGTCTGACCCCAAGATTCAGGATTCTCTGGGATGACTGGACGCCACCAGGCTCAGAACACACCAGTGGGAACAGCAGTGCTAGCTTTTCTGGCTTCTCCACATAGATTATGTGAAGGCCGAACTTCACAACAACCTTCTGAAGAAGGTTTCAGTATTATCCCCCCATTTTTCAAGAGGCAGGACAGTCGTATGTTAAGAGCATTGACTCTGAAGCCAGGCTGTGAGTTCTACTCCAGCTCTGGCACTTCCTAAATGTGGCCTCAGGCAACACTGGACCCCTCTGGGCTTCTCTTTCCTCAACACTAGAATGAGGATAATAACAGTACCTACACCTCACAGGGTGGGTAAAAGAACTAGAAGCACGAGACCATGTAAAGCACTTAGAACAATGCTCAGCACATAATAATAAGTACTGCATGTTTGCCATTTTAAGGAAACTGAGGCTCAAAGAAGTTCTATGACTTGTCCCATATCACATGAGTGCCACGTGGAAAAGCCAGGACTTGAACTCAAATCTGAACTCAAATCTGCCCAACACCAAAGCAGCCCCCTAGTCATACCTTAAGGGCATCAGGCCTTTTGATGAATGAGCAGGATTTCTAGATTGACAGGAGACAGACATTTTAGGTTGGCATACAGCATTTGTACAGAAGTGGGAACGGGCCGCAGAACTGCCTAAAGGAGTAGCACCAGAGTCAGGGCCCCGTCCTCACAGCACCAACACCCAGCCAGTCTGCTGGCAATTCAGATCAGCCCAAAGCATCTCATAAGCACCTTTCTACCTGCCAGGCCAGGTACTGGGCGGCGAGAAAAAAAAAAGAGAAATCACAGTTCTCATCCTCAAAAAAGTTCAGTAATCTAGTAGAGCAGACAGATGTGCAAACAGTGCTATGATCCAACCAAATAATGGTTCTATAGTGAATGGGAGCAAAAAGCACATTCTCCCTGGGGAGGGTTTGGGGAAGGTGCCACAGAGGCACTGGCATTGGAACTGGACCTTTAAGAGCTGAGTGAGTTCAAAAGGGGAAAAGTGTGTCCATCCCAGGCACAGAGCCCAGCAAGAGTCACACGGTACATGGGATTGGGTGGGAATGGCAAGTTCTGTATGTTCAGAGCAAGGCTGATGGGTCTAGAGGTGACTCAAGGCCAGTGCAGGGAGGGCGTCTGTACTAATCAGAACTCCTGGATTGTAAGAGACAGAAAACAACCCAAAGAGTTTTAAATGAAAAGGACTTTTATTGATTCAAGAAACTGAAATTTTTAGCTTAACTGCCTCAGATACAACTGGATCTAGTTCAAATGATGCCACCAGGACTTGGTCTCCCACTTCTCTACTTCTCTCTGCTGGCATTACTCTGGAGCAGTCCCTTTCCAAATGGAGGTGGCTCCAGGCTGACACCTTCCAGGTCCCAAGCCTGGTGAAAGGAAAGATTCATTTCTCCAAATGTCTAAACACGGGTGCTGAAATTGAATCTCTCTGGACTGATTCGGGTCACATGACTATACCTGAACCAATCACTGTGTGGGGGTGGGGGTGGGATACTCTGATTGGCCAGACTGGGTCACATGCTGATCCCTAAGCATGATCCCCACTCAAACCACATGGACTGAGTAGGAGAAGGATGGCTTCCTGAGAATAAAGGTACTTAGAGATCAGAAGGAAAAGGAACGGTTGCTGAGTGGGCAAAGATGACAGGCTACACCTTGAGGTCATGGTCATCTGGGCAGGGGGAAAACTGTGAGGGCTTTAATTTGGAGACAGAGCAGCTCATTAGATTTGGGCTTTGGGAATGGAAAAGGGACAGAGATACTTGTAGGAAGTATGTCAAGTCCCTTTAAAAGATCCTAGAGGCCTAGGGCAAAAGGCATGGAGAGGAGGGGGAGATGCAAATATGCCTGGCTGGAATGCCACTTGTTACTGGGAGGGCTGTTTCAGGGACTAACACCACGTCACCCTCTTGCTATGGGCCTGCAGATGCCAGCAAGAGTGTGGGCTGAGGGCCCAGCCTCCCTTCCCCCCAGAACCCCATGACTAACTCTTTCCTTCCATCTGCTCCTACATTTACTCACCCCCCTGGGCCCCTGCGCATCTGATCTCCCATGGCTCTGGCTGTGGGGTGGTCATCTTGACATCAGGTGGTGAGGGGGGCTGAGCACCTTCACCCCTCCCAGCCTTCGCAGCTCCTTCCTTAGTTTCTGACCTCCCACTCCATGCCTCTGAGGCCTGGACATCACCTCAAGGGCTCCAGGCAGGCCAGTAACTCTCCCTGGTGAAAGGAGCCATTGTGAGATCAGACTGGGAGTTGGCAGGCACCAAGCTGGCACACATGGTTCTCGCAGAGGCCCTGAGTTCAGCCATTCCTGTCTCTAGAAGCTTGGGCCTTCCCAGAGAGGATGGAGACTGCCTGAGACGCTTGGGCTAGGGGACTCCTGGGCCTGCTGCAGCCGGGTCCCAGTGATACACTACATTCTGATTTCCATCTGCCTCAGGTCTGAAGGAGGACACTGGGGGACAGGGCTGGGCACTGGAACCTTCAGAAATGGAGCCGGAAGGACTTGCCTGCTGGGAACTGGCATACCTGGGGCTTTTGCCAAACTGAAAGCCATGGTGAGCTAGAGCAGGCCAGAGCCCTGCTCCCCAGAGGCTAGCCACACTTACAGACCCTGGAGGGAGAGGCAGGGCACCCATCCAGGTAACGTCATGAGGTCTGGCGGTGGCTGGTAAGAAAGGGAGGAGCTTAGGACTTGCAGTTTAACCACAAACTGCCAGAGACCTTCCAGACTGAGCCTATAGTGACAACGTCGCAATGTTTAGCTACTATTTACTGAATGCTTACTAAATGTTGGGCACAGTGCCAAGAACTTCATACACATTATCTCATTTAGTCCCTATATAAAGTATCTATCCATAGCTCTGCCCTGTACTGTTGTTCAGGTTGTTCACTACACAAGGGGCCCAGCCAACGGAGGTGTGTGAAGGCTGAAATCTACCCAGTGCTCTAGTCACCAACTGTATTCCTGCAGATCTGTGTCTACAAAAAGGTCCTATTCTCACATTACAGCTGAGGAGATGAAATGACTTGTGCAAGGCTCTTTAACTAATAAATGACAGATCCAGAACTCAAACTAAGGTCTCTTTGACTCCAAAACCTCTCAATTAGCCAGTCTGTGCTCTGTGGTAAGGCCTGTTTGCTCGTGCTCCTCTCTACCTTCCTCTTTCCCCAGGACCCAACTACTCGGAACGGCAGTGGGCTGGAGGCAGGACACCTGAGTTGCAGCCCTGGCTCTACCTCTTACTCACTTTTCCTCTCCACACCTCATTTTCCTCATCTGTGAAGTGGTATGTCAATCACAGGTCTAAAGTAAGCAACAGAAACCACCTTTGACTTAAACGACAACAAAATGCACTGGAAGGATCCAGGGCTGCCCATAGAAGGAGGCACCAGATAAACCAAGTGCTGAGCCATCCAGGGATCCAGCAGCAAGGGTCAGGGAACCGTACCTTTAGGCTTGTTTCCTAAGAGTAAACCAGGCTGCTGTCAGAAGCGGCAATGGTTGTA